TGGAATCCCCTTGTGGAATCCCCTAGGAGTGAATCCCCTAGTGGAATCCCTAGTGGAATCCCCTAGGAGTGGAATCCCCAGGAGTGGAATCCCCTTGGAGTGGATCCCCTTGGAATCCCCTAGGAGTGGAATCCCTAGGAGTGGAATCCCCTAGTGGGAGTGAATCCCCTAGGAGTGGAATCCCCTAGGAGTGGAATCCCCAGGAGTGGAATCCCCTGGAGTGGAATCCCCTAGGAGTGGAATCCCCTAGGAGTGGAATCCCCTAGGAGTGGAAATCCCCTAGGAGTGGAATCCCCTAGGAGTGGAATCCCCTGGAGTGGAATCCCCCTGGAGTGGAATCCCCCTGGAGTGGACCCCTAGGAGTGGAATCCCCTAGGAGTGGAAATCCCCTAGGAGTGGAATCCCCCTGGAGTGGAATCCCCTTGGAGTGGGAGTTCCCCTAGAGTGGAATCCCCTAGTGAGGAGTGGAATCCCCTTGGAGTGGAATCCCCTGGAGTGGATCCCCTAGGAGTGGAATCCCCTAGGAGTGGAATCCCCTAGGAGTGGAATCCCCTGGAGTGGAATCCCCTGGAGTGGAATCCCCCTGGAGTGGAATCCCCTAGGAGTGGAATCCCCTAGGAGTGGAATCCCCTGGAGTGGATCCCTAGTGGAATCCCCTAGGAGTGGAATCCCCTAGGAGTGGAATCCCCCTGGAGTGGAATCCCCCCGGAGTGGAATCCCCTAGGGAGTGGAATCCCCTAGGAGTGGAATCCCCTGGAGTGGAATCCCCTTGGAGTGGAATCCCCTAGGAGTGGAATCCCCTAGGAGTGGAATCCCCCTGGAGTGGAATCCCCTAGGAGTGGAATCCCCTAGGAGTGGAATCCCTAGGAGTGGAATCCCCTTGGAGGAGTGGAATCCCCCCCCGGAGTGGAATCCCCTAGGAGTGAATCCCCTAGGAGTGGAATCCCCCTAGGAGTGGAATCCCCTAGGAGTGGAATCCCCTTGGAGTGGAATCCCCTAGGAGTGGAATCCCTAGGAGTGGAATCCCCTAGTGGAATCCCCTGGAGTGGAATCCCCTAGGAGTGGAATCCCTAGGAGTGGAATCCCCCTGGAGTGGAATCCCCTAGGAGTGGAATCCCCTGGAGTGGAATCCCCTAGGAGTGGAATCCCCTAGGAGTGGAATCCCCTGGAGTGGAATCCCCTGGAGTGAATCCCCTAGGAGTGGAATCCCCTTGGAGTGGGAAATCCCCTAGGAGTGGAAGTGGAATCCCCTCCCCCCCCTGGAGTGGAATCCCCTAGGAGTGGAATCCCCTAGGAGTGGAATCCCCTAGTGGGAGTGGAATCCCCTTGGAGTGGAATCCCCTCCCCTTGGAGTGGAATTCCCCTAGGAGTGGAATCCCCTGGAATCCCCTAGGAGTGGAATCCCCTTGGAGTGGAATCCCCTAGGAGTGGAATCCCCTTGGAGTGGAGGAGGGAATCCCCTGGAGTGGAATCCCCTTGGAGTGAATCCCCTAGGAGTGGAATCCCCTAGGAGTGGAATCCCCTTGTGGGAGTGGAAAATCCCCTAGTGAGTGGAATCCCCTAGGAGTGGAATCCCCCCCTTGGAGTGGAATCCCCTAGGAGTGGAATCCCCTAGGAGGCCCCTAGGAGTGGAGGAGTGGAATCCCCTTGGAATCCCCTAGGAGTGGAATCCCCTAGGAGTGGAATCCCCTTGGAGTGGAATCCCCTGCCCCTGGAATCCCCTAGGAGTGGAATCCCCTAGGAGTGGAATCCCCTGGAGTGGAATCCCCTTGGAGTGGAATCCCCTAGGAGTGGAATCCCCTACAGTGGAATCCCCTAGGAGTGGAATCCCCCCCCTAGGAGTGGAATCCCCTGGAATCCCCTGGCTGACGTAAATGGTAGGGATTCTGGGATCGCGGACAGGGAGTCGCAGGAACCCGCTGTTGGAAGGAAGGGAAATAGGACTCAAAGCTATAATTATGTATGTCGTCGCTTCAGTTAGTTTATCTTCGGTTTGTCTGTCTGTCTCAGTCCGTCCTTTGGTTTATATGTCTTTTAGTCTATCTTTCCGTTTGTTTATCAGTCTTCTCTGTCTGTCTTTCTTTCTGTCTTCCTTCTGTCAGTCAGTCAGTTTTATATGTTCATCTGTCCGTCAGTCAGTCAGTCAGTCTTATATGTTTATCTGTCCGTCAGTCTGTCTGTTTTACAGAGATTACAGATATTAATGTAAGAGCTCTTAGTCGACAAGAGTTATAATTTAAAATTCCATACAAAATCATTATACCGGTAAAAAAGAAAAAAAATATATTGTTTTCTCAAAAGAAAAAAGCAGCAAAGAACACTCACAGAAAAAGGTAAGAAACAAACAGAAAAGAGCAAAAACAGTAAACTAGGGGAGACGAAAAAAAAAAAAAAAAAAAAAAAAAACAATAACAACAACAGGAAATGAATAATAAAATAATAACAGAAGAGATCATACCGACAACGATAATGATCTTAACAACACAGATAACATCAATAACAAAATAAATAAATAAAGAAAGAAAGAAAGAATAAAAAACGGATGATAAAGAAAGGAACAGACGAACAACTCCAAAGTAAACCTCCAGCCGAATTACCTGGTCCTGATCTCCCGCTCCTCCAGGTGTGCGATGGTGTCCGGGAGAGGCACGTGCAGCGTCTCCGGCAGGGCGAGCGTGGCCAGTCCGCGAGCACCGACGCCGCCCCGAACACTGCTGACGGCGCCCACGGGTACAAGGGGCCCTGGAGGAGGAAGAGGGAGGGAGGAGGGGAAGGAGGAGGGAGGAGGAGGAAGAAAGAGAGGGAGGGAGGAAGGAAAAAGAGAGGAGGAAGGAGGAAGAAAGAGGGGGGAGGGAAGGAGAGGAGAAGGAAAAGGAGGGAGGAGGAAGAGGAAGAAGAGAGGGAGGAGGAAGGAACAGGGAAGGAATGGAGGAAGGGAGGAAAAGAGAGGGAGGGAGAAGAGCGTTATAAAAATCATAGAGATTTAAACAAAAAGCAAGAAGACTGTCATATCTTGCTGTCATGCAGAGTGATTGGTAAAAATCTAAAACACATCCAAGCTCATTCAAACTACTTACATAATATTCCCTTCCCATAAAAAAAAATAATAACATTCACCATGATTTATCCCTGTCAAAAATAAAGAAAATAAGAAAAGAAAAAAAGAAAAGAAAAGAAGAAGAAAAAACTTACCAAGTAGTCCGTGATGAAAGGCGAACAAGTAGACCCCACCCTTGACATGACAAGGGCTGTGCTCATGCCCCTCGTCCTAACCTCGGTGGGAAAGAGCTCTGAGGAGTAAAAGTCGAGGATCTGGAAGGCCGAAGCGATACTCATCTTCCCCATAAGCGCTAAGGTCATCGATTCCCCACTACCTGAGAGGAAAATTAAATATTATTTTAGTTTCCCTTATAATTTTTTAAATAACGTTTTCTATTATATTATTTTAAAAGGGTAATCTAAGCTAAATGTTTTACTTTCCTGTTTTGATTGTCAGGGAAACTTCTTGGTATTGACTGAAGACATGTTTGTAGACAGTAAATTCCTAATTTTGTTTGGCATAAGAAAAACACGAACAAAAAAGAACAAGATGAGAAAGAAGGAAATCATGCTTTCATTTTTCTCAGATTTTTCATTATTGAAACCTCAAACATATTTCATGAAACAAAACCTCCACCCCAGACAACCTCACTCACCCGTGGGCACGAAGGGCAGAGCGAGAAGAGCCACGGCGCCCATGAAGAAGAAGGCGACAACGGGAGCCCTCCTGCCGTAGCGAGCCACCAGGGGATGACCAGCGTGTAGGCCGGCAGCTCCACGACCCCCGTCAGCACCATGTACAGGAACGGGTCGGAGCTCAGGTCGCCGCCGCTGAGCGAGAGCCGAAGTACACAGCACCCACCAGTAGGTAGTTGGTGTACAGGCTGAGGGTGATGGTGCGAAGGCGGGGGTTCTGTTGGGTGAGGGGCGAGGGTGTGAGGGGTGTGGGGAGTGGTGGAGAAGCAAAATGAGTATCGTCTTTGTAGGAGGATATATTGTCTTTACTATCATTGTCATCTTCGTTAATTTTATCACTATTACTAATACCATTCATATTGCTCTTATAATCAAAATAATTCTGTGGGTTTGAGACTACATCCTCTGCACGCTTTCAGTAACCGACATAGCGAAATATGTCAGAGAAATTGCAATATTTCCACGAAATCAAAATATACAGACAAGATATACAAGATTTTTCATTCATATAAAGAATCGTATGATATATTTCAGCAATGTATAAGGAAAGTTTTTCAGAAGGAAGGAGGAGGAGGAGGAGACGATGAGGAAGGAATGAAGAAGGATAAGGAGGAGGAGGAGGAGGAATAGAAAAGAGAATAGGAGGAGAGGAAGGGGAGGGAGGAAGAAGGGAAAGTGGACCTGCCTGAAAAGAATAAATGCTTCATCCAAACGCCTTCTGAACCAGCCTCTCGCGGTGTGGGCGCGGGCGTCTTGGTGCGGGCGTACCATTGCCTACGTCACGGGATCAAGTGATAAAAGAAATACAATAAATAAAAGGATTATGAACCAGGATTATTCTTCTGTCTTGTATTGTATATTCAGAAGCATGATGAGTGACAGGATTTATATTTCGAGGAAAATTGATAAAAAAATTATAAAATACACACACACACACACACACACACACACACACACACACACACACACACACACACACACACACACACACACACACACACACACACATATATATATATATATATATATATATATATATATATATATATATATATAAAATAAAGTGTGTTCCTTTTACACATGCGCACAAGCACGCGCTCGCACCTCGTCCTTGACTCCGTCCTTGAGCAGGAGCAGAAGCTCGTCCTCGGGGGGGAGGGCGACCCCGTTCCACCTGGCGGCCCTCTGCAGCACTCGGAGGGCGCGCCGGTGCTGCCCCCTCACGGCCAGCCACCGAGGCGACTCGTCCATGAACCTAATAGGATAATCCAGAGGTGGAGGTGAAGGAGGAGGAGAGGAGGAGGAGAAGAGGAGGTGAGAGAGGGGAGAGGAGGGGAGAAGATGGATGATAGAAAGAGAAGCGGCTGGATGATGGAGGAGGATGGGAAGAGAAGGATTAAGGAAAAGGAGAAGACATTGACGAAGGAAGGAGTTCAGGCTCTATCACACCAGGACTTTTCCGTCAACTTTTGTGCCTCTGTTTGAACTTTGCGGATGCGTTTGCCCAACCCTACAGGACTGGCAGAAAACACCCGTCTCGGTAAGTACTCAAACGATCCCAAATGAACAAACTTGGCGCTAAAGAATTAAGAAAAGGGGTACTAAAGCTTTTTTTAAGTGTCTCGTCTGCAAAACAGCAACAGGCAAGCAAGAGAGAGAGAGAGAGAGACAGACAGAGACAGAAAGACTGAAACAGACAGACAGACAGAGAAAGAGATAAATAGATAGTGAGAGATAGACACAGATATCGAAAGTTGTATCACAGAAATCTCATCGAAACTTACCACAGAGTAGGCAAGAAGGCCAGACACAGCAAAGACACGGTCAGCTGAAGCATCCGCCATTCCCGGACGAGGTAAGCGAACCCGCCCCACGCCATGAGACTGCTCTCTCTCTCAATCTCCCCTCCCCCTCTCT